AAACTTATGATCAGGCTTGACAAGCCCCAAACTTGGTAAAAGACTAGGAAAGTCGATGTTGCAGTTTGTTGCAAAGAATGGCGAGTGTGGAAAGGTCGGCAGCCTCTCTTGTCAACTGAACAAATTTCTGATTGCGTTCCGGCCAACCTTTCAGGTCAGGCTTCTGCCATACTTGTATTTAGCAGACGGAAAAAATGCAAGGAATTAAATATCAAAATTGTTAATGGCGTGATATCATATACCTAATTACATGAAATTTTCGCGACACGTTAATTTCGCGAAATTTAAGTGACGCGAAAATTAAATGCCGCGAAATTAACATGATGCGAAAATTAAGTGACTCACATTACGTCAATAATTAAAAAAGCGACTTTATTACCATTACACACATTTATAACAATCCTTTTGAACTATTCTGTGGTAATGTTCTGGTCCTCTTCATCACTGCTGCTTTCCGTCTCCACTCCAGGTGGCACTTCTTTTGTACAAACCTCAAACTGTCCATTTACTGGCTCCTTGTAGTGCTGTTCCACTAGTTGCTTAAACCTTTCAGTTGTCTTGTAGACACTGTGAGAACATCTCTCTTGTTACTGTTTACATAATCAGTTGCGTTTCTGTTTATTTGGACGTTGTTGGTTAAGTTGTTTGATCAAATTCAGGGACATCTTAATAACATTNCACTGTGAGAACATCTCTCTTGTTACTGTTTACATAATCAGTTGCGTTTCTGTTTATTTGGACGTTGTTGGTTAAGTTGTTTGATCAAATTCAGGGACATCTTAATAACATTTACAGAGAAATATAGTGTCTCACTCAAAAACGCGAAATTAAAGTGAGTCAAAATGCAAAATTTTCGCAAAATCGCGAAATTAACGTATCGCGAAAATTTCATGTAATAAGGCATTTGTGGTCAGCAATTTGATCAATTTGATCAATTTTTTAAGCGAGACTATCAATCTACAACTAAGCGATCCCTGTGTGGTCAGTGAAAAAATTAAGGCCGCAACAAATAATGGCGAAGAACGTACAGAGATATCACTTGTTCGTCTCAGTTTCTGGTAATTTGAAAAACAGAAATAAAAGAATCACCGAATCCTCTTTTCCTGCAGTTACTCTACTTCTTAATTCTTCTTTATTTATTAATGTTTTTTTAAGTACACATGAAATCAAGCACGCTAACCGCCAACACTCGTATCGAGCGCATCCCGGCTTCGGTATCGCGCTAGCTTCATTCGCAACCAGGATTCAAACTCGTAAAGCTAGACAAACGGGAATTCGCAGCGGAAAAAACCCCGACTAACCTGTGTTTGTAGCTGTTAACAGGCTTAGTAAGATGAAGGTTATTAGTTCATGACCAATCTTGAATCAGCTGATACTTTCTTGTTTACTTTTCATTTGGAAACCAATTACTTGAAGAGAACTTTATCCGTGTTGTTACAGTGTCGTTGTCAGTTATAGATGCACCTATTTTTTTTCAAATCAAACTTTACACTGAAGCTCACTGTCATTGCAGATGGTTTATGCAATCAAGATAAGTAAACTTACCAAGAAAATCCGTGATTACATATTCTTTGGTTGACGATTTCTCTTTATTGATTATTATTATCACTATTTATCCGCTCGAAAGTGTATCGATGTTATTTGGAAAATTAGTTGTTGATAAATCCTTGGATAACTGACTTAACTTGAACTTATCCGTCCTAGTCCAGTTCTGGCTCTGTCTAGCTCTCTGTTCGGGAAAGCCGGTAGTTCAACGTTTGGTCCCCAGACTGGTGCAAACCGATTATGCCACCCCTCCCCCCCCCCGCCCACCCTCTCCTACTCGCCGCTTCAACCCCAACTAGCAAATATTGTTGCGCAAATATTGCTCGTTTCGCTAAATTGTTTCCCCTTTACTCAAACGAGCAAAGTTTATTAAGGAAGTAATTTTTTCCTGGAAGTTAAATAAGAAATGTTTCTGATTTTCTCAGAAACATTCTGCTTCCGTAGTCCATGGAAACTAGTTTGCTATAAGTAATGTTTCCTCGACAATGTTACTCAGTTTGTCTGTGGGGGCGTTAAGTGTAAAACTAATAAAATTCATCGTCGGTGGATTTTTGGCGCATGCAAAATTCGTAGGTAAATTGCCCGACATCTTAACTCCAGTGTTCAGTTTTATCCGCACGGCACCTCACTGCGGTAGGGATGTATTAGTTTAGATTGCGGAAAGATTGCGGCAACTGTACATTATGACTGTGGTATAATGATAGACCGCAGGTCCTTTGAACCTGTGAAGACCAATTTGGTTATGTATTTGCAGTACAGTGAAATATCGGAGCTTAATATGATTATAGTCAAAATCAATTACTAGACAGCTTTATAAACAAAAGAGTTTTAATAATTTCAATGTCAACCGAAACAGAGCGCCCTTTGATAATTTTTCGCCTCTGCATAAATAAATAAAACAAGTGGGGTCTCCCATATGTCATTGTTAGCTTTTAGACCGGTTATTGTAAGGTCATGTTCTTCATTTTAACTGCACGCATTGCCTTTAATTACAATTTTGTGCAACTTATTCACTCAGAATTCTTTAAATGCTATTGCTCTGCAACAAAACGTCTATTTTTCCATTTTCATTACCGTCTATTTTACTGCCACGGAAACAAACAATCACTAAGCCGGTGGTCATTTTTTAAGTCAATGAAAATGCTATAGACCGAAAGCGTTTGTTTTCACTCCTTCTCAAACGATACTGAGAGATATTAAAGCTGTAAATAAGATATTTCTGCTCAGTTCTCGTCACACTGGACGTTCTTTAGAAGCAGCGGCGAATGAAAGAAATCGCGAGAATTCAGTCTATGCCAGCAATTAGTGTCTTTGCTACAGATTAATTCAACTACCGGATCTTATTGGAAACTCTTTGTAAACTAAGCACCTTAAAGTAAATAAACTTGTCTAATAATAAGAGTAAGTGATATTCAGGTGGCAATCTCTTGTTTGTCAAAAAGGACGTTGATAATTGCCTGTCAGTTCTTGGCCTGTAACTGGGTGTTATCGGAAAGGAACGAGGCACTTGCATCCGTGCTTTGGATACTACTTGTAATACGGTGAACGTGTCCCTCGGATTTAACCAAGGTAATTCTTTGCTCTCACGCTTTTTGGTTAATGAACTTTGAGACCTACCAGCAACTACAAAATTCTGATAAGTTCTATGGAATTGAAAATGTCCTCATAATGTAAGGTTTGCTTCTCTTGACCAAATCGTCGTCTCGAAATAGCTGTTATTGGATCCTCTGGCAGCTTGCCCGAGATTTTGATTAATATTCTATAACTTTTCCATCGATCGAGGCCTTTTCACTGATTAAGATTGGTCTCTATTTTGGCCATACGTATTTTTGTTTAAAGGCTTATCTATTTACGGTTCTGTTCAGTTCAGGTTAAAAATGTTTGTAGGGATTAAATTCTCTCCCGGAATTCTCTGTCAACGCAGCCAGGAGCTTAGGTTAAGCAGCGAACCATTGTCAGATTTCTTTTGCTAGTTTTTTCACGACCAAATAACGTCCTTGAAGCCAGGAACGTTTTCCGGCAAGCTGTGTAATCAGTTTGTCCTCTTGCCAGTTTTGAATGGTTCGTTGTGGCTGCCTTGCATGAAGACAGTCACGGCGAGTGAGTTTGCTTATTTTTATACGTCTTATCAATGGTTTAAGTATTACTCATTCATGGATTAAGACAGATCACAACCATAATCACGTTCTTCTCGAAAATTCTCTCTCTGTTCGAAATGAAAGTTCTCCCATCCAAAAAAAATCTCAAAGATGATGACAAAGATATTTCAGAGAAAAACAAATTGTATTACTTTCGAAAAGGAAAGGGTTTATACATGTCATTAAATTCGTTCTCGCGCGCCATCTTAATTTTGGTTACCATGGAAACTGGTGTCGCCGCAATTAGCCAGTGCAGACCCTGGAGAAATTTATGGTGATTACGGACACACGGCACAAGCCACATGACAGAAATAAGTTTAAATTTCTGATACTCTGGGTGTATTTCTTGGGAATACGAAACGCGAAATTCTTGCCACCAAGAAAACTTCGTTTACATCCGTCTCTATTAAGTGAAACTTTTTATCTTCCAAGATAGAACTGATAAAAGCTTTTGTTTGCCAAGTTACCGAGTCGGCTTTCCTTGTGTTATCTTACTTGTCAGCTGGCGCCCGAATACCGCTAACCGCGAAGTATAACTCCTAATAGATCATATCCACTGCATTTTACTTATTTTGATTGTTATTTGCGAGTTTTTTATTCTGGGCTGACTTTACTAAGAACCACTTAACCGTATGAAATCGCATTGAAAACTCAGTGGCAGGCTTAATAGCTAATCAAATTCAAGTGTTGCTCCAAATGGGAGGTCATTTATCCAAAATGGAAGTAACTCATACACTGTGTGTGCAACTTTCAATGTGACAGACCGCAATTTTTATAACGCTGACAAGGTCTTGGTAATGAATATATGAGAACTTTTTGCTTGAGAGATTTGAAAGAACTGGATCACATATTTAATGTTAGCATGAAATAATTATTATTCATTGCATGTTCCTTACGATATGCTCCTGACGACAATACAAAATTATTTTAATGGGACAAAGCTTATGAATTCATTGTACATGTGAGAAACAACATCAAATGTGTTAATTGAATTCTTTCATTATCTGGTTTGACATCCTTTCACGACACTTGGTAATTGTTCCTTCTCTTCTTAGTATTTTACGTTAAAACCCAAGATTTTTAACACAGGAGGCATTCCCTTTTGAATTTTCAGTCGCATTCGTTTTGAAGCAAGTAATGCCGATTCATGCAGCAGGTAGACCCTAATTAAGATACATTTTAAAGGGATTAACGTTTTTGTTGTCCAAACACAAGGAAGCTTTACTTTGTCAATGCTTGTGATGACGCATATTGCTAAAATCCTTGATATGGGTCTATGAATCGCCAAACTCATTATATTTTCTCTTTGTTTTGCAGGCAACGAAGAGACGAACCCAAACTGCGAGTCGCTTTGAAGCGTTCTACCTGACTGGTATCCTTCAAATGTAAACTGAGGTGACCACAAAGGGGACAATTATTCACCTTAAAAGCATTTGACGTCAAAAGTGAAGGTTTTTTCTTAGTATTTGTGCAGAAGTCTGACAGCGTGGCTTGTTAATAGCTGCCGAGTTGTACCATTGGATAACATATCTACGTCCCAGTGTTTACACCAAGACACGACATTTACACGACTCTCGAGCGGTCCGGAGTAGAACTGAGCACACCTTTGTTGAGCACCATTCCTTAAAAGTACTTCTCTGCTATCATTGAAAACGTGAGCTCTTATTAAGAGACAATCTGTAATTGAAGAATCCACTTGGGTAAAGGTTAACCCGACGTTGTCACACAGTCCTGATTTTCAAATAACTGCGATGAAAATGAGCAACAGCACGAACCAAACCCAGGATCGATGTCAGCAAGAAATTCAACGCGACTTCATTTTGCAAACAGCGTTTCTGATCCTGATCATGGTGGTAACATTCCTGGGAAACTTCATGGTGTGCTTGGTCGTGTACCTCCATCGAAGACTGCGCACCGTCACCAACTACTTCATTGTGTCATTGGCCGTGTCCGACCTATTGATTTCCGTGTTGTTGGTGCCCTTCCGAATCCACCAAACATTACACAATGGCGTCTATTGCCTTAACACTGCGCTCTGTTGGACTTGGCTCCTTACAGATCTGACCTGTGCATGTGCATCAATTTGTAACCTGGCAGCCATCTCTGTAGACCGGTACATCGCCATTGTCCACCCGTTCAGGTATCATTCCCTCATGACTACAAGAGTTGGGTGGGTGATGATTGCAATGGTGTGGACCTACTCAGTAGCCTGGGCGAGCCTCTCCTCGTTCAACTGGACAAACTTCGGTGAAGAGCACATCTTCACCGATCATGTATGTCATAAAAAGGACAAAATATTCTACACCGTAGCCACGACCATGGACTTTTACGTGCCACTCCTGATTGTTTTGATTATGTACGGACTCGTTTTCCGTGTGGCGATGAATCAAGCCAGAGCTGTAGCCTCCTTACAGCCCGCCTCTAACCGAGACAGACGCGGTCGAAGATTTTCCATAAACATCGTTAAAGAAGTGAAGGCTGCGAAGACTTTAGCCATTGTCATTGGAGCATTTGTCATCTGCTGGTTCCCGTTTTTCACACTTTTGCTGATCAGTTTGTGGAAACTTGAATTGTTAAAACAACTTTCTGAACAGACCCTCCTGGGGTTGCGTGGCACGTTCAATTACGTCCTGCCAACAATCAACAGCACTTTGAACCCAATTATATACGCCTTGTTTAACAGGGACTTCAGGTCAGCATTCTGCCGATTGCTCCAGAGGACATTTGGTAGCTCATGCTCCAGATCTAACAACAATTCAAACGTTGACGAGTCTCAGTATTCTATGAACATTGCTGTAACTAACGCAAGCCCTAAGGGTAAGCTAACGAAGAACGGAACTGCGAAGAAGACTAAATTCCACGAGGTGTATGGCGAGGAGGAAGCAGGAGCAGCGGAGGAACCAAAGCCTGTATAAACAATCGTCTGCCTCGTACACTGACCCTAAGTTTTTACGATCGACGATTCTAATTTTGGAGAAGTCTACTTCAGAATTAAAGGAATTGGGACTGAAGGAGATAAAGCTTGACGAGGGCCTGACCTCGAAGCTTGACGCATCACGAGGCAGTTGACTTGCCCAAGTTATCAGTAAGCCGCCTGTAAGAATTCGTACTGAACTTTTGACGCATCATGGACAGAGATCACGGAAAAAATTCTTGGCACCTAGAAGAAGACTTAGTGAATTGTTTCGCTCATCGAACACTAATTAAAAAGGTATAAAACTTTTGCGTTCCTAACGTGGTTTGTTATAGGTTCATAAAATGGCGTACCACATAAAGCAGGAGCACCTTGATGCTTATAGCGGAACAATTTCAAGAAGATCTTGCTATGCTGTCCATATGAGATTGTTTTAAAATGTAAATAGGACTTTCGATCGGTTATAAATAGCTTCTTGCAGTCTGGGAATACAGATACAGCGTCCTAGGTGCAAATGGTGTCCCCACTTTTTTTTTTTTTTTTTTAAAGCCAAATACCCTTTGACACTCAGATAAAGTCTTTTATTAATCTTGTTGAATGCCCCATGCTGACAGGAGTGACTTAATCACGGTGGTCCCAGACTGCTGGAAGATACCGAGCCAGGAATCGTATGCAAAAGTTGACTGGATAAGATAATTACACTTAGTATAACCATATGGTAACATCACGTTTAGTTAACTTCATTCCACTACCGTAATTGAACGTTAACTGAGTGATGCTTCGGTTGTCGCCTTGCTGGCGCGCCTTTCTTTCAGAGCGCGAAAATTAAATTAAATAAACAAACACAACAACAACAACAACAACAACAAAAACCAGAGCGCAAAATTGCAGTTAGGTTACCTTGCGTGTTGATCACGTTGCATCTAAGAAAGATTTAACTTAACTCACCCAAGATATAACCCGTAAAGGTGATTCTAACTAAAATAAAATACCGGTTGATCGAAATGATATTTACTAGTCAGTTTAACCAGGAAACATAATTTACAGTTTCTTGGTTGTAATCTNCACGCTTTTTGGTTAATGAACTTTGAGACCTACCAGCAACTACAAAATTCTGATAAGTTCTATGGAATTGAAAATGTCCTCATAATGTAAGGTTTGCTTCTCTTGACCAAATCGTCGTCTCGAAATAGCTGTTATTGGATCCTCTGGCAGCTTGCCCGAGATTTTGATTAATATTCTATAACTTTTCCATCGATCGAGGCCTTTTCACTGATTAAGATTGGTCTCTATTTTGGCCATACGTATTTTTGTTTAAAGGCTTATCTATTTACGGTTCTGTTCAGTTCAGGTTAAAAATGTTTGTAGGGATTAAATTCTCTCCCGGAATTCTCTGTCAACGCAGCCAGGAGCTTAGGTTAAGCAGCGAACCATTGTCAGATTTCTTTTGCTAGTTTTTTCACGACCAAATAACGTCCTTGAAGCCAGGAACGTTTTCCGGCAAGCTGTGTAATCAGTTTGTCCTCTTGCCAGTTTTGAATGGTTCGTTGTGGCTGCCTTGCATGAAGACAGTCACGGCGAGTGAGTTTGCTTATTTTTATACGTCTTATCAATGGTTTAAGTATTACTCATTCATGGATTAAGACAGATCACAACCATAATCACGTTCTTCTCGAAAATTCTCTCTCTGTTCGAAATGAAAGTTCTCCCATCCAAAAAAAATCTCAAAGATGATGACAAAGATATTTCAGAGAAAAACAAATTGTATTACTTTCGAAAAGGAAAGGGTTTATACATGTCATTAAATTCGTTCTCGCGCGCCATCTTAATTTTGGTTACCATGGAAACTGGTGTCGCCGCAATTAGCCAGTGCAGACCCTGGAGAAATTTATGGTGATTACGGACACACGGCACAAGCCACATGACAGAAATAAGTTTAAATTTCTGATACTCTGGGTGTATTTCTTGGGAATACGAAACGCGAAATTCTTGCCACCAAGAAAACTTCGTTTACATCCGTCTCTATTAAGTGAAACTTTTTATCTTCCAAGATAGAACTGATAAAAGCTTTTGTTTGCCAAGTTACCGAGTCGGCTTTCCTTGTGTTATCTTACTTGTCAGCTGGCGCCCGAATACCGCTAACCGCGAAGTATAACTCCTAATAGATCATATCCACTGCATTTTACTTATTTTGATTGTTATTTGCGAGTTTTTTATTCTGGGCTGACTTTACTAAGAACCACTTAACCGTATGAAATCGCATTGAAAACTCAGTGGCAGGCTTAATAGCTAATCAAATTCAAGTGTTGCTCCAAATGGGAGGTCATTTATCCAAAATGGAAGTAACTCATACACTGTGTGTGCAACTTTCAATGTGACAGACCGCAATTTTTATAACGCTGACAAGGTCTTGGTAATGAATATATGAGAACTTTTTGCTTGAGAGATTTGAAAGAACTGGATCACATATTTAATGTTAGCATGAAATAATTATTATTCATTGCATGTTCCTTACGATATGCTCCTGACGACAATACAAAATTATTTTAATGGGACAAAGCTTATGAATTCATTGTACATGTGAGAAACAACATCAAATGTGTTAATTGAATTCTTTCATTATCTGGTTTGACATCCTTTCACGACACTTGGTAATTGTTCCTTCTCTTCTTAGTATTTTACGTTAAAACCCAAGATTTTTAACACAGGAGGCATTCCCTTTTGAATTTTCAGTCGCATTCGTTTTGAAGCAAGTAATGCCGATTCATGCAGCAGGTAGACCCTAATTAAGATACATTTTAAAGGGATTAACGTTTTTGTTGTCCAAACACAAGGAAGCTTTACTTTGTCAATGCTTGTGATGACGCATATTGCTAAAATCCTTGATATGGGTCTATGAATCGCCAAACTCATTATATTTTCTCTTTGTTTTGCAGGCAACGAAGAGACGAACCCAAACTGCGAGTCGCTTTGAAGCGTTCTACCTGACTGGTATCCTTCAAATGTAAACTGAGGTGACCACAAAGGGGACAATTATTCACCTTAAAAGCATTTGACGTCAAAAGTGAAGGTTTTTTCTTAGTATTTGTGCAGAAGTCTGACAGCGTGGCTTGTTAATAGCTGCCGAGTTGTACCATTGGATAACATATCTACGTCCCAGTGTTTACACCAAGACACGACATTTACACGACTCTCGAGCGGTCCGGAGTAGAACTGAGCACACCTTTGTTGAGCACCATTCCTTAAAAGTACTTCTCTGCTATCATTGAAAACGTGAGCTCTTATTAAGAGACAATCTGTAATTGAAGAATCCACTTGGGTAAAGGTTAACCCGACGTTGTCACACAGTCCTGATTTTCAAATAACTGCGATGAAAATGAGCAACAGCACGAACCAAACCCAGGATCGATGTCAGCAAGAAATTCAACGCGACTTCATTTTGCAAACAGCGTTTCTGATCCTGATCATGGTGGTAACATTCCTGGGAAACTTCATGGTGTGCTTGGTCGTGTACCTCCATCGAAGACTGCGCACCGTCACCAACTACTTCATTGTGTCATTGGCCGTGTCCGACCTATTGATTTCCGTGTTGTTGGTGCCCTTCCGAATCCACCAAACATTACACAATGGCGTCTATTGCCTTAACACTGCGCTCTGTTGGACTTGGCTCCTTACAGATCTGACCTGTGCATGTGCATCAATTTGTAACCTGGCAGCCATCTCTGTAGACCGGTACATCGCCATTGTCCACCCGTTCAGGTATCATTCCCTCATGACTACAAGAGTTGGGTGGGTGATGATTGCAATGGTGTGGACCTACTCAGTAGCCTGGGCGAGCCTCTCCTCGTTCAACTGGACAAACTTCGGTGAAGAGCACATCTTCACCGATCATGTATGTCATAAAAAGGACAAAATATTCTACACCGTAGCCACGACCATGGACTTTTACGTGCCACTCCTGATTGTTTTGATTATGTACGGACTCGTTTTCCGTGTGGCGATGAATCAAGCCAGAGCTGTAGCCTCCTTACAGCCCGCCTCTAACCGAGACAGACGCGGTCGAAGATTTTCCATAAACATCGTTAAAGAAGTGAAGGCTGCGAAGACTTTAGCCATTGTCATTGGAGCATTTGTCATCTGCTGGTTCCCGTTTTTCACACTTTTGCTGATCAGTTTGTGGAAACTTGAATTGTTAAAACAACTTTCTGAACAGACCCTCCTGGGGTTGCGTGGCACGTTCAATTACGTCCTGCCAACAATCAACAGCACTTTGAACCCAATTATATACGCCTTGTTTAACAGGGACTTCAGGTCAGCATTCTGCCGATTGCTCCAGAGGACATTTGGTAGCTCATGCTCCAGATCTAACAACAATTCAAACGTTGACGAGTCTCAGTATTCTATGAACATTGCTGTAACTAACGCAAGCCCTAAGGGTAAGCTAACGAAGAACGGAACTGCGAAGAAGACTAAATTCCACGAGGTGTATGGCGAGGAGGAAGCAGGAGCAGCGGAGGAACCAAAGCCTGTATAAACAATCGTCTGCCTCGTACACTGACCCTAAGTTTTTACGATCGACGATTCTAATTTTGGAGAAGTCTACTTCAGAATTAAAGGAATTGGGACTGAAGGAGATAAAGCTTGACGAGGGCCTGACCTCGAAGCTTGACGCATCACGAGGCAGTTGACTTGCCCAAGTTATCAGTAAGCCGCCTGTAAGAATTCGTACTGAACTTTTGACGCATCATGGACAGAGATCACGGAAAAAATTCTTGGCACCTAGAAGAAGACTTAGTGAATTGTTTCGCTCATCGAACACTAATTAAAAAGGTATAAAACTTTTGCGTTCCTAACGTGGTTTGTTATAGGTTCATAAAATGGCGTACCACATAAAGCAGGAGCACCTTGATGCTTATAGCGGAACAATTTCAAGAAGATCTTGCTATGCTGTCCATATGAGATTGTTTTAAAATGTAAATAGGACTTTCGATCGGTTATAAATAGCTTCTTGCAGTCTGGGAATACAGATACAGCGTCCTAGGTGCAAATGGTGTCCCCACTTTTTTTTTTTTTTTTTTAAAGCCAAATACCCTTTGACACTCAGATAAAGTCTTTTATTAATCTTGTTGAATGCCCCATGCTGACAGGAGTGACTTAATCACGGTGGTCCCAGACTGCTGGAAGATACCGAGCCAGGAATCGTATGCAAAAGTTGACTGGATAAGATAATTACACTTAGTATAACCATATGGTAACATCACGTTTAGTTAACTTCATTCCACTACCGTAATTGAACGTTAACTGAGTGATGCTTCGGTTGTCGCCTTGCTGGCGCGCCTTTCTTTCAGAGCGCGAAAATTAAATTAAATAAACAAACACAACAACAACAACAACAACAACAACAAAAACCAGAGCGCAAAATTGCAGTTAGGTTACCTTGCGTGTTGATCACGTTGCATCTAAGAAAGATTTAACTTAACTCACCCAAGATATAACCCGTAAAGGTGATTCTAACTAAAATAAAATACCGGTTGATCGAAATGATATTTACTAGTCAGTTTAACCAGGAAACATAATTTACAGTTTCTTGGTTGTAATCTATATTAAAGTACTTTGCATAACTGAACTTCAAACATGTGTTTCAATTTATTTGCACTTAGATTAAACTAACTAAAGGCTATTTGCTGGTTTTTTTTTTTAGCACAACTGAACTTCAAGCATGTGTTTAAATTTATTTGCGCTTGGATTATACTTACAAAAGGCTATTTGCTGAATTCTTTTTTTGCTATTATCGTTGTTGGTATTAGGCTATTTCGTTTGTTGTTGCTTTGCCAATAATATTGGTTTTACAAAACAGGGTGATTACATGATCTCTCGAAACCTGCTGCTAATGATAATGCTGATAACGAATAAACAGATTTACTTGATGGGAAGGAAGTGATTTTTGTGGTTCAGAACCAGCAACAAATTCCCTTATGTCAAACCATGTCTTTCACATGCAGATAGAACAACAGAGACAAAATGTAAACATGCTACCTCTGAAAGACAATGTAAGGTTACAGCCATTTTTCTGTTGGGAGGGGGTGGGGTAGGAGGGAGACGATAGTGGGCAGAAAAAGTAATTTTCTCATTTCAAGAACCCCCGCGGTTAACACTGGTGGGCAATTAATTCTGCCCCGAACAAAAGCACAGTCAGTCATTTTCTTATTTAAAGAATTCCACCACCCCCGTTAATACGGCAAGATTTTTGTGACCCATTGGTGACCGGATGAACGGGGTTCCACTGTATATGTGAAAATTGTGTCTGATCAGTTAGTCTGTGAAAAGCGCCGAGGTTTGATTCACACTGATTGTTATAAGCGACTTTAAAACCAATGAAACACGATTACATCAGACTCTTAAACAATCCTTCTGAAAACGGAACATGAAATAATCTCAGCACTGTTACTTGACTATATGATATTCGTGACCATGTAAATGGACACAGCAGTAAGCAATTGAGGATCACAGCCGGGATCATGCGAAACCGGGATGGGACCAAGCACAAGCAGTGAATACCGTTCTAATCCATTTATCTTTTCATTCAATTTTGACTTTTTTTAGCAGCCGTTTTCTATGTACGGTAACCCTTTAAAACTGACGGCAATATCACACGATAGAGGTAAAGCAAAACATAAAATCTTTGTTTGTTTGTTGCTTCTCTAGCGATGCAGGAACACGGCGATATCGTCTACCTACCCCCAGGGATTGTGCACGCAGGGCCAATTACGCCGGTCTCTCAGTTTTTCGCGCAACTCGCTCAACGATGTTTAAACTAAGAAAGGACTGCTCAAATTTTAACACTGAAACCTCGCTTTGAACTAAAACGACTTTCAGAAGAACCCTACGTGTGTTGTCGTCAACCAACTGACAAAAGGACTAAAGATATTGATTCAGTGATAAAGGTCCTTTGTTGTTTGTCATTGTCGCTTCTGTTTCCACAGCAAAATTGAAAGCATCCGGTAGAGTGTTAAAAGCTTGTCGCTAAATCCGTCATAATGATCCATTAGCAAGGAGTCAGCATAAGCGGACAAGGAACCAAGGGTCTATTTCATTCAGTAACGTGTTAACCAATTGTGGTCCTTAGAGACGTAATTACGATAATTAAGGTGCTATATAAAGCAACGCGTGCATCGCTATGGCAACGCTTGAAGGTGAGTCAAGTAGCTCCTCGAGGTAGGCGCGAGACTATTTTATTACAGGAAATTAACGCTCCATGAAAAATGTGTGCTAATTTTAATCCTCTAAGCTTTATGGAACTTTAATTTCCATGACGCTAATCTCTGTCATTTTGATCCAAAATTAGGAATCGTGTCCTAAGGAATAGACATTACATGACTGCGAGACCCGGTGCAAACGTCACCTTTACATGTGCCGAACCTAATACAGTCGAACCTGTAAGTAACGGCCCTGTATTAAGCCGCCGCCCTCTATTAAACGGCCAGTTCTCAAAGTCCCGTAACAACTATGAAATTGAACGTAACATTGATACAGTATAAATAGCTTTCCAAAAATTTTAACGATTATACTTTTGAAAATGTATGTTGACTAGCACACGAAACGTCAAGTTCATAAAATGCATGTTTTTAAAATGTTTATCACCGCTGTTTGTTTTATATTTTTAATCAAGCTACGATGGCCGAAGACCACGAGTTTATATGTTACGTACATTACACCAATAAGTTACAAGTTGGCACTAGCCTTGGTTAAAATATTGATCGCTTGAAAGAGTGTTGATTGCCTATTGGTAAACGTTTTTGTAGATACGCCATTAAAATTGACATTAGACCACGCTTAGTGAGTATTTTTAGTGATCCTGCATTAATTAAGCGGCCACCTGTATTAGGGCCTCTTTATATGAGCCCGGTAGCCGGGCTGGCTTAGTTACCGGGACGAATTTTGTCGTCTGTTTATATGGGAAATTCCAGTCGGGCCTACCGGATGAAATCCAAGAAACACAACCAAAATGGTGGAACATAAACTTGTATCGTTCGCGGCTGTCGTAGCTTTGTGAACTCTTGTAACTTACCAATAAAGCTAATTCGCATACTCCTAAAGTGTAAATACATACAAGACAAAAATTATGCCATTTTGGCCGCTATGTTGCGAAAGCGAAGCTATTTTGTCTATAAAGTTTCGTCCCGGTTACCCGGGCTGGCGTGTTCCTATGGGAAAATTTTCATCCCGGTTACCGAGATATCGGTCGCAAAAACCGAGATCTCGGTAACCGGGCCAGCCCTGCTTCTCATATGAACCCGTCGACACTCTTACGAAGGAAAGAGTGGCGAGGCGAGATCTCGGAAACCGAGCCACGAGCCCGGTTGACCGGGCTCATATGAAGAGGCCCTTAAGCGGCCAGTTCCTCAAGTCCCGAAGGTAACCATTGTATACAGGTTCGCCGGACTGTACCAATTCGGGTCGACCTAAATAATTGAGACGGAATCCACCAGAATTTCGAGTAACAAATGGACAGAAACCTAGTACCAAGATTATTTACATCGTATTTAGTGCAAACTTCTGTACGATTGTTTTAAATATCTTCTAAAAAAAATCATTTCTAGCAACACCAAACGCCGAAAACGAATGTTGAACTTCATATGAAACACTTGAAAGTACTGGTGAAATGAAACTGATGATGAAATTTTGCCTGTGTTTGCACAAGATCTCTAAACTTTGAAATATATTTTCTCTCGTTCCCATGGGAAATTGTTTTCGGTGTTATTTCAGGCAATTATTTATGTATTTCGCTTTAAGAAATTGTAAAAATGACTAAAATACTTAAATTATTCTGGTACCAGATTTTTGTCTACTAAAACCTGAAATTGCTCTATTTTCTATCGGATTTCGTCTTAAGTCCTGCAGTTTATTCAAACGTTGAACCTAATTAAGAGGAACTTAATTGCAAAAGTGAACATGACAGGATCAAGGAGGGTAGAGGAATGCGATTCCAGATGCAGTTAGCATTAAACAACCTCTCTGCAAGGAGAAAGCGAGTTTTGGTTTAACGGCTGCGATCAAGGCTTTTTTTTT